ATTTGTCCTTCTGTGATTGACTTATTTCACTCAGCGTAATGTCCTCCAAATTCATCCATGTTATGTGGTGTTTTACAGATTCTACATTATTCTTTAGTGCTGCATAGCATTCCATTGTGTCTATGTACCATAGTTTTGTCATCCACTCTTCCGTTGATGGGCCTGTAGGTTTTTTCCATCTTTTTGCTATTGTAAATAATGCTGTGATGAACATGGGTGTGCATATATCTGTTCCTGTCCTGGCTCTCACCTCTCTTGGATATATACCTAGTAATTGGATTGCTGAGTCAAATGGTATCTCCAATTCCAGCTTTCTAAGGAATCGCCATACTGCTTTCCACAGTAGTTGTATCATTTCACACCAGCAGTGTATGAGAGTATCAATCTCTCCACATCCCCACCAGCATTTGTTATTTTCTGTCTCGTTGAACTTTGCCATCAGTGCTGGGGTGAGATGGTATCTCACCGCTGTTTTGATTTGCATCTTTATGGTGACCAATGATCATGAATATCTCCTCATGTATTTGCTGACCACCTGAATATCCTCCTTGGTGAAGTGTTTAGTCATGTCTTCTGACCATTTTTCAATCAGATTGTTAATTCCTTTGGTGTTGTGGTGTTGGAGTATTCTATAAATCTCCAAGATAAGTTCATTGCCAGATACGTAATTATTGACAAGTATGGATTTGTTGCTGTCATTTTTGTCATGTGCTTTTTTTGTGGTGTTGATTTCTTTGTTCCATTTAATTTTCTGTGCTCATTTTGTTTATGAATCATATTATCACTTCATTCATTACTATTGTTTTAGTATTTGCTAAATATTTGTGCTGGTTCCTTTTTTATTTTGATGTGAAGGTTCTTTGAGGTTACTCTTTGATTTATAGTTCTCTTCCCAAATTTAGAACAGTCCATTCTGTCTTGTAGTTGTCTTGACTTCCCTATCATTTAGAAGTTCTGTAACTACATAATTTTTTCCCTCTTTTTGGTTTGTATTTGTCCTCATTTTTCAATTAATGTCTCTGGTTCCCTGTTTCCAATCTTGTAGGCTAATTTACTTTGGATACTTCCGTAGCAGGGTTGGTTTCTGGGTTATGTCATCATGTGTGTTAATGTTTGGTTGTTGTTTTCTGGTGGTTCTCTGTCCAAAGGGCTCCCTTTAGCATCTCTTGTAAGGTTGGTCTGGTTTTTAACAAATTCCCTTAATTTGTTAATAGCTTGTCTTCCTATTCATCCATCTTGCTGGAAGTACCAATAAAGGAAAGTTTGCATTAATTTCTGCTTATCTGGAAATGTCCTAATCTCACCATCATATTTAAGGGACAATTTTGCTGGGTACATAATTCTTGGTTGGAAATTTTTCTCTTTCAGATTTTTATATATACTATCCCATAGTCTTTTCAGCTGCATGGTTTCTGCTGAGAAATCTGAGCTTAGTCTTATTGGTTGCCCCTTGTAGGAAACTTTCTGTTTGTCTCATAATGGTTTCAGGATTCTTTGTATTTGGTTTTGGTGAGTTTGATGATGACATGTCTTGGTGATTTTCTTTTTGGATCTATCCTGTTTGGGTAGCTCTGGTAGCGTAATGCCTAAGGCACTTGACTGCTAACCAGAAGGCTGGAAGTTCAAACCCACCAGCCACTCCTAGGAAGGAAGATGGGGCAATCTACTTCCAGAGTGATACTGCCTTGGAAACCCAAGGAGGGGTAACTATGAGTCAAGTCCAACTCGACGGCACATAACAACAAATCCTGTTTGGGATTCATTGGACTTCTTGAATGGATATATTCTCATCTTTAATCATACCAGGAAAATTCCCTTCCAACAAATCTTGAACAATTTTTTTCTGTGGTTTCATTTGTTTCTTCTGTTCTGGAATTTTGATTACATGTAGGTTATTTCTTTTGATGGTATCCCACATGAACCTTAAGCTTTCTTCATTTTGTTTTGATAGTTTTTCTGATTGATCAGTTTCTGAGTACTGAGATATTTGCTTTCAATCTCACTAATTCTGTCTTCCATTGATTCAGTACTACCCCTTTGCCTGTTCAATGTGTTATCTATTTCTGAAAATTTAGTATTAATCTTCTGGATTTTATGTGTAGATTTTGGATCATTTCTAATTTTTCATTTATTTTGTCATTTTGTTCTTGTATTGTCTTTTGAAATTTTTCTAGGGTTTTCTGTGTTTTCCTCAATTTTGTTATTGTTTTCCTTGATCTGTCTCTCAATTCATTGAAGATACCTAAATATAATTCTTTTGAATTCTTTATCAGGGAGTTCTAATACTCCATCTTTCTCAGGGATGTGTTTTGGGTCTGTATGCTGGTCCCTTGTTTCTCCTGCTTTATCTTGCTTCTTTGTATGCACTGTGATGTTCTTTTGTCTCTGGGGCATCATGATGTTTTTGTGTTGATATTTAATTGGTGATTAAATGTTGGAGTGACTTGCCCACAATGTTTGTTTTCTTTGTATGTTTTCTACATAAGCAGAGTACTGTGCTCTATTCACTAGTTGGCAGTACTTATACACTCACCACCTGCCTCCTTTCCCATTGTCAGCTTTCTGTGTGTCCCTGCCATCCTTGGCAAGCAGAGCCTATTCTTAGGTCTCTGGAATCCAAATGAAAATGCTGTCATTTTAAAATCCAAAATGGCTGCCACATGTAAATATTCAAAATGGCTG